AGGAGACCACCAAAATTGAGATGATGTCATACAGCATCATAAACCTGTACAAACCTGCTCCTGTATTTCCCCACCAAGAATATATAGTTTATTAACCTTTGTGACATAAATTGACTGAGTTATTGAGGTTTGAAAAAAAAATCACGGACTAAAAATACTATTTTTGTACTATACCTAAGAATTGATTCTGGAATATCTTCCAGTTTCATCAATATACATACACAAAAAAATTGATATTCCTTTTGAAAACATGTTTCTCCACATTTTTGTCACCTAAAGCCTTCCTGTATGGGCAGTATCTCTACATGTAATTCCTGAATGTGTCTGCAAGTTTGATTTTCTGAAGTACTTTGCCCCAATAAAAATTTTGAGGGAACAGATTGGGAAAAGCATTCTGAATTTGATTGATATACATGTAGATGTTATTTGACAAAAATTTCTGCCATAAACTTTGCCATATACTGCCTAGAAACAAAGAATCAATCAAATTGTTGACTGCTTGTGTACACACCACAATTACATATAGAAATACTGCCCACACAGGAAGGCTTGAGGTGACAAAAAGGTGGAGAAACATGTTTTCAAAAGGAATATCAATTTTTTTGTGTATGTATATTGATGAAACTGGAAGATATTCCAGAATCAATTCTTAGGTATAGTACAAAAATAGTATTTTTAGTCCGTGATTTTTTTTTCAAACCTCAATAACTCAGTCAATTTATGTCACAAAGGTTAATAAACTATATATTCTTGGTGGGGAAATACAGGAGCAGGTTTGTACAGGTTTATGATGCTGTATGACATCATCTCAATTTTGGTGGTATGAAATATTTTGCTGGTAACTGAACCAAAACATCTTGATAGCAGATGGATGTTATGCTGAAAACAAATTGAAGTTTTGTTGAAAACATTTTGGAGACATCGGATGTACTGGTCTGCCAGTGACCAGTAGTTGGGGGCTGTGAATAGAGTTGAAGACAAAGGATGTTGCGCAGAAATTATTTGGTTTCAATGGAGTCTCTGGTGTTTCAGTAACAAAAGAATGGAAGGGATGTTTGAGTATGTTGGATGTTGAAGGAGAGAAGAAGGAATTGAAGCCTACGTTAGGAGTTACGAAGCTGAGTGGAGGACATGATATGATCTTAGGTTTACCGTGGATGGAAGAATATGAAGTAGCTTTGATGATGAATAAGTCAGGTAGATGGTTGGAAATCGGTGGTTGTATGATATCAACAGTCATAGTAGAGGATGACTGTGTGGATGTATCAGTAGTTTCTTGTAAGTCAAAGAATACTACTGTCTCTCCTCTCGTTACCTCCACTCGCACTTCAATTTCAAACATTTCTCCACCCATCGATAATCCTGAAGCACCTCTCAAAACCTCTCTTGACAAGTCTTTTCTTTCTAATCTACCCGCGAGTTGTGTGAAATACTTACATGTTTTTTGTCCACAGGAATCTGTTTTGCCCCCCCACAGACCGTTTGATATTGCAATTGAAATCAAGCCTGGTTGTGAACCTCCATTTGGAGGGTTATACAATTTGTCCCCTGATGAGCAGTCTGAATTGAAAAACTACTTGAATGAACAATTAAGTAAAGGGTTTGTTCAACCTTCAAAATCTTCCGCAGCTGCCCCAATCTTTTTCGTCAAAGTACCAGGAAAAAAGAATTGTCCCCGCGTTGATTATCGAGGTCTGAATAAAATAACAAAACAAGACAGTTATCCTATTCCCGTCATGTCCTGGTTGTTGAATCAGCTGCGGGGTTGTAAGTTTTTTGCTAAAATTGATCTGAAAGCGGCGTTTAATCTACTAAGAGTAGCAGAGGGTGACGAGTGGAAAACAGCATTTCGGACCCCTTGGGGATTATTTGAATACAGTGTCATGCCATTTGGCCTTGCTAACGCACCTGCTGTTTTTCAGCGATTCATTCAATTGGTATTGCGAGAGTATCTGGATGTGTTTTGTTTTGTTTATCTTGATGATATTTTGATTTTTTCAAAAACTGCAGATGAACACGAAGATCACATTGGGAAGGTACTTTCCAAGCTATCAGAACACAAGTTGACTGCATCACCAGGGAAGTGTGAGTTCTTCACAAAGGAAGTCATTTTCTTAGGTTTTGTCATTTCGACAGAAGGCATTAGCATGGATCCTTCAAAGTTGAAAACTATAGCTGAGTGGCCATATCCTGAAGGACTGAATGATCTACAGCGTTTTTTAGGCTTTTCAAATTTTTACAGACGATTTATAGCACAGTTTTTGGAAGTAGTGGCACCTTTAACAACTTTAACGGCGAAGACAGCAGATGCTGTTTCGGGTTTAAAGAAGAAAGAAGCCGTGGAATCCTTTAATTTGCTACGTCGTTTGTTTTCATCAGCACCGTTTTTGCTGCATTTTGATTTTTCCCTACCGCGTGTACTACAGGTCGACGCTTCTGGCTACGCTTATTCTGGGATCTTGTCACAGAAGGCACCATCGGGAGAACTGCGTCCAGTGGCATATTTTTCAAAGAAATTGACACCGGCAGAAAGGCGTTGGCAAATTCACGATCAAGAGTTAGGGGCAATAGTGGCTTGTTTTCAAGAATGGAGGGCATGGCTAATGGGGACAGTGTTACCAGTCTCCGTCCTCTCAGATCACGCTGACCTCCGATACTTCATGACTTTGCAGATGCTGACACCAAGCCAAGCTCGTTGGGCTTTGTTTTTAGGCGAATTTAATTTTGAAATATTACATACTCCAGGAAAAACGAATCCGGCAGATCCTGCTTCTCGACACTCAGACTTTGTTTGTGGGAAGGCAGACAGTTCACGTGTCATTCTACTCGGTTCTCGTGAAGTAAAAGATCTCCCAATTAATGTGGTTAACATTGCCAATCCTGGGTGTTTTGATTCTTCTACCTATACGCCGGTTGACCAAGAACTGACGGCCAAAATTGTGGCTCATTATGTAGATGACAATTTGATCAAAGGAGTTCATCCAGCCTTCTTACGCTTTGTGGATGGGATCTGGTGGTGAAGGAATAGGTTATATATACCTATGAGGATGCGGCAGGCTCTGTTTGAAGAGCCACATGTATCACCGGCCGGAGGACATTGGGGTGGTTTGAAATCCTACGAGTTGTTATCAAGGTCGTTTGGATGGCCTGGTATGCGGACAGACATTTTGGGCTACCTTCAAGGTTGCGCTAGTTGCCAGCAGGTGAAGGTGGATCGACGCTCTCCCCAAGGCCAACTTATTCCTTTACCAATTCCAGATCGACCTTGGTCAACAATCGGCATTGATTTTATTGTTAAACTCCCTATTTCGAAAGGTTTTGACTCGGTGATGGTGGTCGTGGATCATTTCTCAAAAGCTGCGCACTTCATTCCAGCCAAAGAGACATGGAAGGCGGACGAATTAGCTAAGGCTTTTGTGGATCAAGTGTTTTGATTTCATGGCTTACCTGATGTTATTGTTTCCGACAGGGGTACGACTTTGGTCTCTTCGTTCTGGACGAGTGTCCTAGGGCTCCTTTGTGTCAAACCTGCTCCGTCCATGGCTTTCCATCCTCAGACGGATGGACAAGTGGAACGCACCAACGCCTTGTTAGAGGACTACTTGCGGCATTTTGTCTCTGAGGATCAGAGTGACTGGGCGAATCTCCTGGCTTTAGCTGAGTTTTTGTACAATAATTCTGTTTTGAGTTCCACGGGGATGACGCCTTTCTTTGCGCTTCTAGGATACCACCCGCGTTTCAATTCTTTGACGGGCTCTTCGGGGAGGCCAGCGGCCGATGGTTTTGTGCAGCACATGCAAGACGTACAAGACTTGTTGCGGGAGAATATTTCGCAAGCGGAAAACGCTCAAGAACGGTTTTACAACAAGGATCGCTGAGTTTTGGTGATTTACGAGCCAGGGACCCTTGTTTGGCTCTCTAGGCGCAACTTGAAGACAAAGCGCCCGAACAACAAGTCGGACGTATGCCGTTTGGGTCCGTTCCCGGTGGTTCGGATGATTGGGAACAACACAGCTGAGTTACAATTGCCTCCTTCATTGCAGCGTTTGCATCCTGTATTCAATGTTTCCTTATTACTGCCGTTTGTAGGATCTTCAGGAAGTTCAGTCGTTCCCAGGCCTTTGGGGATGACGGATCTGTTAGTAGGCAATCACGAGCGTGTGAGGACTATCTTGGATTACCGGTTGACCAACGTTGGCATGCACAAATATTTGGTGAAGATGGAGAATGCATTGCACTTGGACGCGCTATGGCTACCCCTGTCCAGGATTCCCTTCGACTTGGATCATTATCTGGAACGCTTCCATTGGATGTCGCCTTCTTTGGGATCAGGACCTGCCAATGATGTCTAGCCCCCACACGGGCATGACAAAGAGTGGACTCTGCTTATAATGCAGTTGCTGGTGCTCTTATTTCATGAGAAGTTTTTTAACCTTCCACGCTGACCCCTGTGAGCCTAAACAAGCCACTCAAGACTTGGGTATGTGAAAGCGTGGTGGTATTTTTTTGCTATGGTATATGACAAGTCATAATTTGTCATGAACTGCTAGGACTATTACGTATTAGTAGGATATGCTGTTAGCAGTATAGAAGATGCGTTACAGAGAATTACATAATCAAGGAACAACTCTCAGACCTAAAAATTATGTGCCTTATTTTGTATTTGTTTTCATATATATGTCTTATGGTTGTCTAGATTATGATGCTTTTCTCTTCATCAGAATAATTATTATCTTCCCTTCTCTTTTTGTTTACATCTCCGATCCGAGATAAAACCGTCTTTTCATAAAAGAGGAATTGCTATAATCGTGCCGTGAGGATTTTCCGATTGAGAATCTCAGCTACATCCCAGAGCATCACACTTGATAAGTCGCAATGGCCAAATTGGATTAGCTCATAGTATGTTTCTCCTCTCACCTTGTAATACATCATTCTTGAAACAGTTAGCTAAATGTTGGAAATTGCCTGCTTGACATACATCATTTGCCTATCAAGATCTAATGGTCAAATTGATCCTAAATCTGGTGTCCTTAACCATCAGCTTGACACTTGGCTTGATTGGATATATGGTGGTGATTGGTCGGCGACAAGGCGCCAACGATGAAACACAATATGCATTCGAACCTTTGATTTTCATATTGTGCGGAATTATGCCATTCTGGATCCTTTGTTTTGTGACAGACCTCATTAGTAATTCGGTTGATACACTGTTGAGTCATCTATCATATTTTGCGTTTTGCGTTTTGAGCCATATACAACCCACTTGATATTATCTAGACTTGGCTTCCCTGAACTGACCATCAAATCATCAAACTTAACTAAGTCCCACCCTGGACCTAACCACCAACTCCAGGGAGAGACTTACGCCCAATTGAGGAATTTCAGCGTGAGATCGGTCAGGGTATTTTCCCAAATAGCCTGATCTCGCTTGCTCGCCAAACCTTCATGCAAAAGGTGGTTGAGGTATATATGAAAAAGAAGCGCAGTCCTTATGGCAATGAGCCTGCGCTTTTGGCTGCTCAAATGCTCAAAGACTCGAAATAATATTGCAGAAAAGGCTTTTGGGGCAAAAGCCGGGGCCGTAGACGACTGCGGCATTCCAAACAAGGAAATTGGGACAAATCCCACAGCTATGTGTGACAAAACCGTCAATCAGTTTCATCCAAACTGTAGTTTGGATGACGACGGGCATTATATCACCAAGTGCGTGATATTACCACAACCACCTACCTGCGATATAACCACATCTAACTTCCTGCGAGACTGTCAAGCTCTCATAACTATCGATGCTCCAAAGGAGCCAATCAGCCGCCAACAAGGCTGAGCTGAGCCAGGCTCGCGAAACTCAGAGGGTCAAATCATTGACCGCACGGCCAACGTTAAAACCTGTGTATCAAAACGGATCCAAACTCACCCAAGCCGCTGCAGGACAAATTCATTTCGAGGCGAAACACAGCTATGCCGCGAGGCAACAGCAGGTTGACTCATTCGTGGATGTGCTCAATGTACGCACGGCACTTTTGCTTGCCGGGACCGGATTTGGGCAGAGCAGAGTCCCCGAGATGTTTTACGACGCTCATAACGAAGACTATGCACCTATCATCCTCTGTATCAACCCGTTGGACTCCTTGGGCGATGATCAGGTAAGGCCATAAACAACTGTCCTAGACACAGCGCCACGGCTCGCTGACCCAATGTGTCATGGGTCAGGTCTCTGAGAAAGCCCAAATCGACCTGGCAGCGATTAATCTTACTGCAACCAACTGCACCCCAGGCGCATGTGACGCGATTTTGCAAGGGAATTACCCCTTTGTCTATGTGGTATATGGGATTTACTTTATAATCCCTTTTGCCTGCCATTCTGACCAAAGTCTTTCACGTTTCTGACTGATCAGAGTCCGGAAGTGGCATTGACAAATTCGACTTTCGATCGAATGTGGCGTGATCCCAGATTCCAGGCTAGACTCGTGCTCGTGGTGGTAGATGAGGCCCACATGGTCTATGAATGGGGCCTTGTGGCCAGCGGCGAAGCAAAAAGGATGGCCAGTCATGTTTGAGTCCAGGATGGCGGCGTGTTCCGGCCGTCATATGGAGACCTCACTCGGCGCTTTTTATCTTTGAGCAAAGTGCCTTTGCTTTTAATGTCAGCTACGTGCACCCCTCAAGCGATCAACGCGATCACAGCCAACCTCAAACTAGAATCCAGTGATGTTCGATTCCACCGTGCCGAGCTCGTAAGACCTGAAATTCGACTACTTTGCAGGACTTTCAAGCGCCCGCTCAAAGCGTCACTCCACGGTCTGTTTACTCATCACACCACGGTACCAAACAAAGCAATTCCCCCAACACTCCTATACTCCGGTACACAAAACGCAACATTGGAGTTTTTGCAAATAATATGTGCATCACGAGGTCAACCGAAAGAAGCGGCAAACGGACGTTCAGGTTTTGCTCGGCGGTACTACGCCACTACAGGACCCCAAGCCAAGCTTGACGCGGTTGCTTCCTACATAGCCGGCACCCTCGCAGTCCTTTGCTGCACGCTGGCCCTTGGGTTAGGCCAAAATTGGCACAGGGTCCGTCGTGTGGTTGTGGTAGGGCGTCAAGATCCGTGTCATTTCATTCAAATGTCCAGTTGTTGTGGTCGAGATGGCCGACGTGGCCTCGGAATCCTATTGGTTGAGCACAAACGTACGAATGGCAAGAATGAGATTGCGCACTTTGCCACTCCTACAGTCATGACGGATGACGACAGGATGGACGCCTTGGCAATCACTCCTGTATGCCTACAGGTTGCACTTGGGGTGGATCTGAGGTCAGTGGGCACAATTCACACAGAGGCATCTCGCAACCCCTAGCTGACATAATTCTTTAGCCACGGTTATATACCACTTTGTGTGGAAGATCTAACAGTGAAAGCTGAGGCTGCGAGGCAGAGAAGTGCGGGGATGGCTGTGTGTGACTGCTCGAATTGCCTCCCCGAGGAAGCCGAGGCCCTCTGGCTCTGCCAGGCTGCGCTGACAAAAAACAACATAGATAGTAGCTTCACCATGGGGGTATCTGACCTCACAAACCTGGTACAAGACCTGCCCAAGGCCCCACCTTCCCATCCCGCCAACGTTCGACCAGTCAGCCTCTGATGTGTACGAGATGACCCCATATTGCTCGAACCGCATTTAGAAGCGCTTGTTTCACGCATAGAGCGCACTTTCAATAGCTATTTTTTCAGCAAGTTTCCTCGCGGATGTGATTTAAGCCCTGAAGACTATCTTGGTCGCGAAATGTTGTGGGATGTGGTAAAAAACATCGATATACTCCAAGTGCCCAGTGATCTAGGGGTGGTTCTTGGTAGTGAAACCTTGCCTGGCCAGTTTGCCTGCATGTTTGACACCTTTCTGCGGTGGAAAGACGGACCCGGATCTAATCGCGCGATCGCCGAAGCTGCCGAACGTCGGCGCAAAGGATCTCGCCCTGTGGTATCTCTCAAAACTCCTCAATCCGTCGAGGGTAACCAACTCGCGAAAGAAAAGGCGAATTTAGAGCGGGAAGCGCTGATTGTCTCGCGGGACGCAGCCAAGGTGGCACATGAGAAAGTCAAAAGCAATGCTGCATTACAGAAGGCCGCTGAACACGAGAGACGATCGCGCTAAAAGCAGGATCAAGATGCTGCAAAAGCGGCCTGGCCACGCTCGAAACGTGCAGTGGATGAGCCAGGGCTACTCAATGAGGCCAGCAAACACACACGCCTGGATGTAAGTCAAGGCCTCTTAAAGGGATTCCCATGCCGATTTAGATGCGCTCAAACAGGCTGATTTTGGCAAATGACTGTCTATCAACCTTCCATATCTTCATTTACGTCTTCACTTTCCCAAGACAATAACACATCCGCTGCACCCCAACGGAATCAGGACGATCAACCCGCGTCTTTGTCTGCTGTGATCATCCTGATCATATTCAAATTACCAGCGCGCCAACAGTTTGTTACCAAAGCCGGTGGTCTTGCGGAGTTATCTTTGGCCAAGTTCTCTTCAGCATATTTGAGGAAACTGGCTAAAGAAGGATCGGTGATGGCATTGAGATTCGGCTGGTAAACGAGTTTGTGGCCCGACATCGCTTTCAGCAGTTGCATGAGCTTGCGTAGCTGAAACATCACGAAATTCTCCCTTGTCAGCGGCCCGTCCAGAATGTAACATCCCCAAACTTATGCAATGAAAGCAAATAAGCAAACAAAATCAAATACTCACCAGAGGTATATTGTTGGACAACCTATATGTGAGCCTTTCGATATCAGTGCCATGGCCCTGATGAGCACGCAAGACAGAAAGAGAGTGTTCTGTAAGTCTTTGTATATATGCTACGAATATAACGAGAAAACCTTTACCGTGTTATTGTACAAGTGTTTAAGCCAATAGATATGAACCTCAAGGAACTCATCTATTGGCATCCAATGGTCCTGTCGCTCATTTGAAGGTATCAGTAAGGAGTGCTTGATAGCGTGCGCCAGGTTCTCAGGTAAGTCTTGTTCCAAAAGCATTACGAGGCGGGGGATATGTCGGCTATAGTGAGACAGGCCGGGTAATCGTTGCCCCATTATAGCCCAACGCTTCCACATTGACATAAGTCGTCCAATGTATCCTCCTCGTGTCGTGTCATGTGCTGCCACTACCGTAGCCAAGTCTCGCATTCGTAATAAAAGGTTATGATGTGTGTGGTTTTTACTTTCTTTCGCATCTTGGATAGCGGCTTGATCAAAGTATCTAACCCAAACCTCTTCAAAAAGTAATTCACAGTCCTTGAATTTACTCAGGTCAAAACCGTCTGTGGATTCAATCACTTGTCTTAATAAGTGATCAGTAAGTCAGCAAAGTATATCCGTGCCGATCGCACTCAAGATCGTGTTGTCCTTACTTCAAAATAAAGACCAGGTTTGCTTTGTGGACCTGCTGTAAACAACACATAATCGTATTAAAGTCCTGACTCGCCGGCGGTTTCTTGTATTCCCCCCCCAAGGCGAAAGACGATCTCCAAACTCCCGGATTGTCCTTGTTGTCCATGTTTCCCCAGTGATGTCCCCATAAGGCCTTTGCGAAATTCCAGGTGGTATGAGCCCCACCAAACACCAAAAGCACCCATTCAAAGCCTTCAATCGAATTGATTGGCGGGAAGCGCTTCACGCGCAAGCTCTCCAGGAGCAAGTTTGAGCCGACGTCACACCCGGCCACCAAAAGTCTCTCAGCGTAAGCAGCTTCATCAACACCGATCTGAGACTTGATCTGTTCCAGAACCCGAGTGACGCCCTCAGCTGACAAGTTGGGGGCGTTCAACATTTGTAGGAAGTGAATGTTGGGCTTGTGCATGGAAATGAGATCGATTGGCGGGGGTCGCGTGGGACAGGAGGCAATTTTATGTCGCTCAGGAGCGCCTGGTATGTGATTTGAGTATTCTTTGAGCGCTTTTGCCAGTTGGGCCTTGATAACTGACCTCCAATGCTCAGCTTCTGAAGGGCCAGGCAAAAAAAGGGACATGTTCACACTTTTCTGATCTGCTGCTGCCATGGCATTCAAATACGCTGCGAGTCCATCAGCCTCCTCAGTACACTTGAGCTGAAGACACGACCGAACCACTTCAAAGAACCCCCATGTTCCGTGGAAAAGACGCGAAGAAGTATCAATTCGGGTGTTGTGGATTCTTAGATGTATGTCGATATTGTCATAGCATAACAGCGGCATGATTTTATGGTTAATTTTGAATATATCCATCATGCAAACTTCTTGAATTTTACGCAGGTGTTCCATGGCGCGAAGGGTAGTGTTTCTGGACGCCAATATACCCAGACCATTGAGCCATTCATGTACCCTACAGGACACCCCTCCAGCGAACGCGACTAGGCCGTTAGCCATGGATATTGCATTGCTGTGACAATTGCACACCGCCGCGATCATGGAACACACCGTCACGGGTAGCTATCAGCGAGCTGGAAAGCATACTTAGCCACATACAACGCAGTGGATACATTAGACAACTCACGGTGGCCAGTTTGTGGGTAGCATGGTCTGTAGGAGTCATCTCAACATACACCAGGTTCTCAAGAGACAAAACCGCGGTTTCGTCCAGCGCGCCGTCAATATCCAGAGGATCCTGTGTCAAGTCCGAATCCGCCGCGGGTGCAATATCTTTGGTTTTGTCGCGGTTGTCGTTATACTGAATGGTGTCTTTCTGTTTGAGCCCGGTCGTAATCTTGCTATGAATCAGGTGGTAAAGGAATTTCATGCCCGAGGTGACTTGATCATGTCTAAGCTTTTCGGCGCTCTCACTGAAAAAATCCGGTGTGATTCTGTTCGAGCTAATATATGCGCCAGCAGGAAAATGTCCACGTGGCACTTCTTGGGCATTCACAATGGTACGTGCCTGGAACAGTAAATTGTGCGGGTAAGTCTATGAGTACCTTGTACTTGGTTGACACTCACACTGACCTGTTCAAATATTAATTCCTCCCATATCGCTTGCCCCGACTCGCACGAGGAAGTCAGTTTTCCAAGATTCTTGAATATCGAATGAGTTTGCTTGCGGCCCAGTCCCACTTTCATCAGGCGCCTTCGTGATTTGAGGTCGGGATTATCCGCCGAGAGGAAGGTGACCATGAATTCCTTGGGCGAGAACCCCAAGGAATTTACACTGCAAGAAAGATAATATTTTCTGGGCAGAAAATTAAATTATTGATACACAAAAATATTAAGAGGCCAGGAGGAGAGCAAAAAATGAATAAAAATATGCATCTTGTTCCCTGCGTTGAGAACTTCACTCTGCATATTTTTCCGTATTTTTAAAGTCCATATTGATAAGTGTACTAACAATAAACCTTCACAATCATCCAATTACAACCTGTAACAAGCACTGAAATTTGGCTCATTAGTATTTAGAGAAACGTTTGATTTATGAAAATACTCATAACTTTTTCAATTCCGGTCCAAAACGCTCGATTTTAGGCGCATTGGTAAGCTGGAATTGTCCTCCAAATAGTTCATAATAGGACCACACAGCATGCTGGTCTGCTAAAAAAGATATCATATTTTTTATACATTTGTACATACAGATCCATAGAATGATTGTCATACTAGCTACATAGTTTTTGATCTTATGAACGTTTGAGAGGAAGAGTTCAGCTTTCTGATGCACTTAAAATTGAGTGTTTTGAGGCAGATTTGACAAAGCTATAGGTGTTTTCAGAAATCAAAAGTTCCTCTAAACACTAATGAGTCAAATTTCAGTGCTTGTTACAGGTTGTAATTGGATGATTATGAAGGTTTATTGTTAGTACACTTATCAATACGGACTGTAAAAATATGGAAGAATATGGAGAGTGAAGCTCTCACCGCAGGGAACAAGATGCATATTTTTATTTATTTTTTGCCCTTCTCCTGGCCTCTCAATATTTTTGTGTATCAATAATTTAATTTTCTGCCCAGAAAATATTATCTTTCGTGTAGTGTTATGAAGTTGCATATTTTGATGGTATGGGCCACAGTGACAGGAATGCGAGGTTGTGTCATTATTGCTCAAAATTATATTCAATAAAGTAGAGAAAAGTTAAAGAACTACGACCTAATTAAGAAATATTATTATTATCTTTTGCAATTGGGATATCCTACCAGGCTGACTGCTTAGAGGTTAGCAGTGTATCCACGGCAAGACATGTTTCAATGTCTTTTCCAACTCTCCACCGTCCCACGGGTGCGAGGCCAGAAAGAAGTCGTATGCACCCCCACCCTCAGGTCCCTGTCTAAAATAATAGCACAGAATGAGGCGAATTTGATGCTCACCGCCCCACATCAAGCATGGACATCCAAACATCATGTCTATGGTCTCTATCTGAAACGTGCCGGCGGCGAGGCCTCTGGTCTATCGAATCCGAATGGTGCCTCTGGTTCATTGAATCCGAATAGTCCCTCTGGAACATGGAATCCAAATAGTGCCTATGGCTCTATTCGGATTGATCTAAATGAGTTAGATTCTGACGCACCACATCAGAATCAATGACACTATTTGCTCTGGTCTAACTCACTGAAACTGTTCTTAGTGATCCTTATCTTACCCTTCATGACTCACGCGTTCACTGAGGGGGTAACTAGCTTTGCGATGTTTCAGCGATGGTCAGATATTTATATATATATCTTTATTCTTTTGCCACGACAAATGACAGAGCAATCAATCAACTAACAACTTAGCCATGGAGCCAACTGAAACCCAGCCTCCCCCCGACCAGAACGGCGCGGTGTCCAACATATTGGAGGCCATCCGAGCGGAAGGCTTGACAGTCTCGTCTTTCCTGCTTTTGCTAGAGTCACAAAGACCTCGTCCACCCCAGCAACAACCGTCACTAGTGGAACGGGTCTTTGATATTTATCTATTCATGGAAGGTCAAGATGTCACTCTATTCCAGTTCCTTCATACGTTTCTCGACCCCACGGTTCAAGAGTTCAGATGTGTGCGTTGCAAATGGCGGGGAGAGGCAGCCGCGTCGCGGTCTAGTATTTGCTTGGTCCTCAATATGATCAGACGGCAACTATTTGGCTATAGTGTTGGCCGGGTTTTTTGGGTGGAATATATAGAAGGCCAGGTGTGCACTCAATTCACTACTCTTGATATCCTCTGGCCCCCCTGATTAAGACTCTAACCACGTCCGACAAACCAGATGCATGATATAGGAATATACAGTGCTCCCTTCTGATCTGTCATGATTTTCGGAAGCACAAGTCACACAAGCTAAACCTCCCAATTTTCGGCTCCTGGTCTACCTACTTCATATTACGCACAACATTCAAGCCGGCCTGGTTGGTTTCCTTTGCGGTGATGCATGAGTGAGGGTAATGGGTGTAATGCATTATTATTAAGCCACTGGCTAAGGTCAAACTGCTTTTTATTCTTGTGTCTTTATGATTGGTCCAAAACGATTTGGACGCGCAGCATTGGTTTGTCTTCTTGAGCCTTTGGCCCCGGCTTTTGCCCCAAAAGCCTTTTCTGCAATATTATTTCGACTCTTTGAGCATTTGAGCAGCCGAAAGCGCAGGCTCATTGCCATAAGGACTGCGCTTCTTTTTCATATATACCTCAACCACCTTTTGCATGAAGGTTTGGCGAGCAAGCGAGATCAGGCTATTTGGGAAAATACCCTGACCGATCTCACGCTGAAATTCCTCAATTGGGCGTAAGTCCCTCCCTGGAGTTGGTGGTTAGGTCCAGGGTGGGACTTAGTTAAGTTTGTCAAATCATCATCTCATAGGTTCTGTTGTTGGAACATCAATCTGGACATCGGAACAAATCATTCAAATAAAACGGAAGAAGCTGTTGAGTTCCTGCACGCTTCTATTGATTTGATCATCCTTTGATGACGACTAATGCAAATGCTTCCTAACATGTTCTTTTCAACTCAGTTCACCGGCCGGAATGTCGCGCAACCGACCATCTAGGGATTGAACCTCATCTTACATTCGGATGAATCGAACCAAACAATTAACTCTCCAACTCAAACCAGTAATACTTTTAGAGCCAATGTATCATCAATCCTCGCATCTTCAACCGGCTCAACACCTTATGGCACACATTTTACACACATTAGTCATCATGACTATTGAAAGCGAGCTATCCCAACGGCTCCAGAAAGTCAAACAATTACATGCGCTAATTTCCAACTGTTTTTTATAGTGCATGCAAGGTTTAGCAATCACGCAAACATGAACTACTGCTTGCTCCTCTTCAGATTTCTTGACGTTTGTATGTTTTACGCGTTGTACATTTGTAAATCTGATGTAATTCTCCATTTGGTAAAAACCAATTTTATCTGGTTTGGTATTTACGGTACTCAAAGCAAGTATGTTACTTTTTCCCACATACTTTGTGAGTTTTTTTTTTGGCGGGGAAAAAAAAAGTATGTTCGGGTCGAGAACTATGTAGCTTTGAGGACCCCAAACATACTTTTCTTGTTCTTTCCTGTTCTTTCCTGTTCTTTACTTCAATCATGCCTATCAGTGCATTCGATGAGTTGATGCATGTGTTGTTTGGTGTTGGAGGAGGGTGATCGGACATGCAATTGGGGTGAACAGAGGGTCTCAAGCAACCCGAGTCACTTAGCCCTGATGGAGAAAAAAATACTTTTGTCGACCGGACATAGTTTCAAAAACAACCCAAAAAAGTATGTGGGAAAAAGTATGTACACCCACATACTTGCTTTGAGTACCGTAATTGGTTTCTCTCATGTGTTCAATGAAAGTGATAGACGTGTATCTTGTACATGGACATCTTGGGATATTAAAGGTTGTACAGATGTGATTTCTTCTTTTTCTTTATCTAGCTAGTTTCTTTCTTCTTTTTTTTACTTTGGTCAATTGATAGTCAGATCATTTGTCATATGTATCCATGGGTGGATTGAACCTGCCCCTGGCTACACCCACTCCTCAGCTCAGCATTCCAAATGGGAAAACAAGGCCATTATTTGGCTCGGCAATGGCAATCAAACCATTGCATAGGAGTGCATAAAGTCGCTTTGGACAGTTTTCACACAGAAAGAGGATGATGTTGATCATCATCAGAACGATAAGAATGGGGACAGTTTGAACAAGAAAATTCTGATTTATAAATTCTATAGCTTGATCTGAATCACAATTAGCTGGGTTCATTGAAACACCGTGCAATTATGCGCCTTTCTTTTGTTGACCGCCAAATATACTTTATCAGTGCCTTGTTCTAGTATACATACTAGCCAAGATCTTCATGTCCAAAGGCAACTTGGAGTTACAGCTGTTTCAATAAAGATTGATGTTTTTTTGAAAATCTCATTGACGCGCAAAATGTTAAGTTTGATGTATCACCCCCAGTTGTATTGTACAAGGTCCACTGCAGCAGTTTTTTGTGTCTTGGCTCCCTATACCATTGATATCCCTCACACTCCGGGCACCAAATATTGTGTATGCTCTTGTAGGATTCTTCTGGAGAGGTAGTACATATATTCTCAAAATAGATTTGGAAAACTTACATCATCTTTCAGAAGATAGATAATGATCAAGGTAATAAATGGAATGCTTCAACAGTTGCAAATGTCCTCCTCCAAGCAAGAATTGTCTGATGGTAGGAATGGTTTACAAGAAAAATTAGTAATACCCTAGAAAGCTTTTCTGAGACACACCCTAACAAAGGTGTCAAGATCTTCAAACAACAAAATTAAATCCAAACAGCATCATCTCCTTACTGAGCCTCCATTGAAAAAAAACACTCTCTGCATTCAGATACGACAAGAGAATCTAGAATAACCATAAACCTGGAAGAATGGAATATTGATACAAATTAATTACGTAGATTCATTGAGGTTCCACATCCATCAAATTCATCAACTTCATGCCACTAGTGCCTGAGATCATTATATCTTGTGAAACCATTTTAAAATCAACATGCAATTTCAAATCGTTCGTGGATGAAACTTAACCCATAATCCATCTTGAAAGCTCAAAGTCACAGAGTGGACTTCTTTAATATTTTCCCTAACGGCTGATTTACCTGCTAACTCAACTCTAGAGAATTGATGAATTAATCTAATCAATGCGACAGACGTCTGAATATAAGCTGAAGAAGAAAAAAAATGCTCTGTGTGAGTTTAACTTTCAAGAGAAAGGGGTTTTCTTTTCTTTTGAAAGCAAGAAAAAAGCTTACCAAATTGTTGACCAAGACAAAGTCTTGGACCTGCACTAAATGGTTGGAAAGTAGATGGATTTTCACTTTGTAAGACCTGTCTACCATCTAACCAACAATCCGGTATGAATTCTTCTGCATCCTATGCGTATTTCAAAAGGTTATCAAATCCAAGCTTCATTAGTTTCACAAATGTATCAAGAGGTTTTGTTTTTATTACTGACCATACAGGACCCAGGAATGCGCCTATAGAGGTATGTAATGTAACTCGTTTTTTAGTTTTTGGGCTCTACACTACACACCACTTGTCGTAACAAGGTCCAGAGCACTTCAAAAGATGCGCATGGTCTAGAGCTATCGAATGAGCCTAGCCCGAGGTCCGAGGCTTTGCTACTTTTGGCGTAAAATGGAAAGGCGCAAAAAAAATTTGTGCCTCCGAGGCCTGATTCCGACATTCAATTTTGAGCCATTTTTGGCCGTTACATCCAATTATCTCTGGAACCATAGGTGCTATGAGGTTGAAAGCTAGCTTAAATGAAAGCCCTCCTTCTCACGCACATTTTGCGCTACTGTAGGTGCTGTGATAAGGTGATTTAGTACCCTAAAACCCCGCCAACAAAATGTCGGAATTTACATTACATACCTCTATAGGCGCATTCCTGGGTCCTGACCATACCCCATACTTCTGGATCTCGTTGGAGGTCTTTGTAACTAAATCGACAATCAGTTCTAGATGTTTGAGTAAGCAGTTGATCAGTAACAGTCAATTTCAAAAGATATAAAGATGAAGTTAAAATGTGAGATAAGTAAAATTGTGATCAAGACTAACCCAGCTGGAACAAATATACCGGATGGTAATACATCATCTTCGAATGCACCGCGTAGGTTACACCAAGCAGGTGGATGAAGTCTGAAAACCAGAGAAAACACATCAATGATGTTGATAAGGAGCAGATGTAAAAGATTGGATGAACTGGAAGCACAAACCTTAGAGTTTCGTTAATCACTGCTCTAAGTAATTTACATTGACGGATTTGATTGCTAGAAATTGTAGAAATTTGAGCAAGATGACTCAATTCTAATTGAAGTCGATGCCAAAGCTCATCCCGGCCAGCTAATTCGTAAATGCAACTAGTGAGTAGAGAAGAAAGTGAATCTCTTCCGGCAATTAATATATTGAGAAGTTCATGACGAAGAAGGCAAGTTGAGCAACCTGATCGACGTATGCCATCAAGTAGGGTTTCAGGTTCTTGTTGATCATCTGATAAACTACGCTCTTTGGCTACATTCTCTATCAATACATCTACGGCTGCCGAGACTCTCTTAGTGGATGGATCGGGTGATAATTTTTGAAATAATCTGACTATGAAAGCTAGGTGAAAGAAGAGGAAGGGGATTGGTGAAAGTCGAAAGCAAACTTCCACAAGACCGAAACAAGGTGCTTACATGGTATAAAGATATATGCTATACAATGTGTTTGGGCGTCAGCAAAGTCGGTGGAGAAAGCTGTTGCATCTATAGCACCTTCTTGTAATGGTCTATCAAGTAAGAGATCATTGAGCATATCCAAACAATGTCCAAAGAAATGTTGGGTAGCAACCGTGAGGGCTAAACGTGAAAAGACTAAAAAAATCAACAAAAAAGCACATCAAGTCAGTAAATCACAAGTTCATCAATAGTGACGAGAAAAATCGGACAAGTGAAACGGATCGTACGATCTTGAATATCAACAGAATGATCTGACCCATTTTGAAATTCAATCCAACCAATCAATCTGGAAACATGATTCTCACAAGCTTCCACATCAGAATTTCTTTTTTTTGTAAAATGAGGTCTACTTAATGTTCTATGCCAAGACCAAAGCAATCTTTGATCAGAATTAAAGATACCATCATCTAACAATGGATAAAGGGCCTCTTTGAAACTATTTGATTTACCCCAATTTTGAAGTTTTTTAGATAGAATATAATTAACATCCAAATGTGAGAAGGTTTGAATGATGTCGGTTCCAAAGACATTAATTCTAATAGCTGGGGTTACTTTTGAATGAGAATTGAGGTAAGCGAATGAACTTGATGGATCACCTTTTAAAAGTGAAGTGATTTTATAATACAAGAATTTCAAATCAAATGGTATTGTACCAGTCACTAAAGGTGCTATTTTACTATTTAAGGATTTTGCTTTTGTTTTATTAGAGTGTTCTTCAACTTTCCATCTGATCTGATTCATCAAGTAAACTAATAAAATCAATATTACGAATTGATCCAGAAAAGTTAGACTGTTAACATTGAGATTCGGAATCATTGATGATAAGCCTATTTGATCCGATATGATCAACTCCATGATGTAGGTCGTAAGAGGCCGTCAGATGTGGTTTCAATATGTACGATTATAATTTGGTATGGATGATTTTGGATTTATATCTACAGAAGACAAAAAGGACAAGGAGGAGAAGTGTTCAGGGTTATATAACAGTCATCTCACAAAACATTGACCAAAGTTGCCCGGACAACTTCAGCAAATTGGCGGGGAACTTGAGTTTTTCTGAATTGACTGAAGTTTCGACAATTGCATAAAGTCCCCCTGAATTTGGTCGAGGTGGACTGGACAAAAATTTGGTTGCAATTGATTCCATAGCTTCAATCACACTTCATAGTACATATTGTGATGGATATCCCAGAGGGTTTAAGTAGTACGCTGCGATCTGTCATGGTCATTGTGATGTTTTCACATTTCCGGTTATGATCATAGGCGCTTTTTCTGAAAGATATGTGATACGTAAAAAATGACCAAACTTGAGACCCCCTATCAGCCGTCTACCGTAAACTTAACAAAGTCCCAGAACCAACCTTTGAGAGACGAATGAAGGCAGAGGGCAGCAAGTTGCTCGTGAAAAAAATATGTACATTGTGCGCATAAAGTTTCTCTTTGAACCACCACGGAATCCTCGGTAGTTAAAGGTGTAAAAGGATTTTGAAGACAAGCAAAAGGCTCAACGGGGAGTCTTGTGTTTGTGCGGCATTGCCAATAAGTCTCGATAAGTCCCTCGCAGGCTTGGGCTGCCGCAAGCGAAAGCTGACTGTGTGGGACTTTATTAAGTTTACGTCTACCGTTATCATTTGACTTATATAAGGGGCGTGAGAACTTTGCAATCATTTCTTTGCAGGCATTGACTGGCTCATTGAGGGTTTCAAAAACCGATGTTTGTGAGATTCTTTTTGCCCCACGCGATCTTTCTGAATAGTCAGTTACAGTACTCAAAGCAAGTATGTAGGCGTACATACTCTCTGCTACATACTTTTTTTTGGCGGGGAAAACGAGACCAAAAGTATATTTTTGTTTTTTTCCCCGCCAAAAAAAAGTAATAGCAAGAGCCTAGTGACTCGTGGGGTTGTGTACCCCTCGGCATGTCACAGCATCCACAGTATATTGACGAGGGTGGCCAAAGGCACGACGTCACCCAAGAGTTCCATCGAGACACGTGACGTAGTGTTCAGGATGGGGGTGCGGCCTTTAAAAAAAAGGCGCGCCCTGGCGCGTTTGTGCAGAAAGTAGGCGCGTCTGGGCGCCACTGGCGCGTTAGGCGCAGCCTCTCACAGTGCAAAAACAAAAAAAATGGAAAAGATGGAAAAAGAATCAAAAAATTGCTTTTTAACTAAACTTAAATACACTTTAGCTACTGATCAGGTAGGTTGAAGATGAGATATTTGAAGGTTGCATGTTACTTGAAGCCATGGAAGTTGAGCAACAAGTGAAATTTGAACCGAATGGTTTAGAAGTCAATTCATGGAGGGTATTTACACCATAAAGACACACGGATGTCCCAGGGACAACCGGTTATTGTTGCAGGGGGAGGGACGTCCTGACGAAACTGATCCAAGGAGCCCCGATCAAAACAGGAATTTGGGACGTCCCACGGGCTTCCAAAAGTCTTCCCATGTATCCTACATTGGGAGTCCTCAAGGTGCCTCTACGGGCTGTGCTGAGAGCTCCGCATATGATTGAACTGTTGGGACACTCAGCAGTAGTCATGAGGATGTCCTTACTGATCAACTCTAGGACCGATTGAAGCACCGGATTGTACAATAGACACAATATCAAAATGGTATCTAGGCTGTCCTAGAGATGGGCTTCTCACTTGTCTCACACACCTGCTATCAGACCAAGGAGACAGCTTCATAGACCTTTTTTATGAGAACAAATTATACTACATTTCAATGTGGTAAAAGGAGAGAACATCAAAGACTACTTATTGAATGTGAGGCGCCAATAAAGAGTTTGAAAAGAAAAAAATCTATCAAGCAGAATCAGAAAATGACAATTGATCTCAAACTCTTTCAATGATATGTTCATGAGAGGTGAGAGCAATCAAATCAATCCTACAAGAACTAAAAGGAAGACACTCCAATCACTGATAGCCCATTGGAATCGAAATGTTGAACGTTTTTGAAATGAAGACTTGTTTTGGATTTGAGACATGTATGAAGAGTTTTACAACAAACAGATCTGTCAAGCAAAATCAGAATGTGATGATTGAGCTTGAACCATTTTGATTGATTCACGAAAGGTGGGAGCAATGAAATCAATCAAAGATGTACCAAAAGGACCTTCAGCTCCAATCACTGATAGCCAATTGGAATTGAAATGTGGTAAATTGGGCTAATTGTAATCCTGAAGATGATGATAAACTCAAAGTGATTCAAGCAAACGAGGTATGGTTAAATTAGAGTAGGTTTTCAGTGGAAGAAATGATTCAGCTTACAGAGTCTGATGAATAGGCTCTGATGAGTAAGAAGACCTGAAATGCCAAGTTGAAGTTTAGTAGGAAAGGGTTATTAATGTTGAAAGCCTCTCATGACTTGGAGTTTGAGTTGGTGGTCTGGTCTGAGAGAGGGATCAATCCAAGAATGATGATGAGGATAAAGTTATCAGGACGAGGAGTTTGGAACATTAGAAGTGTTGTGTAATTTATCGATCATGTTGCTTTCAATGAGAAGTGGTGACGATGAGATTTTATGAAATTAATGTTGGTTGGAACTTTGTGAGATGAGGAAGGCAAAGCGGACTTATGAATTTTCAAGCTGTTTCCCCCTCTCCCTCCAACTTCTTCCTTTTGTTTATGTAGTCTTTTTTCTAGAAGTTTCCTTCATACGTGGTCACCACAGGGACCATCTGAACATTGTGGTTTGGAAATGTCTTCACAAGGCTCAGAGAAGGGGGTCAGTTGGCAACATCAAGTTCACGGACTACCTGATGCACACCTGACAGAACCCGCTATATATTATGATCTCAGATCTTGTGAGGACATACAGGCTTCACTCGGAAGACAGCCTCAATAAGGATGTCCAGGTCGGGCTGAGAGCAGGGGGGCTGATCCCCCATCCAAGATCAGAGAGTCATCACAATATCCTGAGAGTATGCAAAAGATGTCGGCGCTTGAGGACGCCTAAAAGACACCCCAATCGGGGACACCGAGTTGAGCATTGAGTCTTGGACGGCTGGGACGTCTTTCTGCGCAAAAGTGTCTTTGTGGTGTACATGATTGGCATCACAAAAATGGAGTAGAAGACAAAGAGGAAACTTCATAAAATGGCGTTTGCAACAGACTAGAAACAGGGAAAGCCCCACTTTCTCACTACGGGCCTTACAGACTTTTGGGCGCACCAACCCTGTTTTCAAGATTGCGGGGCGCGCCTTGCGCCTGGCGCGTGGCGCGTTATTTTTTTTGTGCCCCCATCCTGACGTAGTGTATGAGTGCGAAGTAATCAGGGCCGGGACAATACCCGGCCCTGTGAGAGAGAGGCTAGGCAAACTGTGAAAATCTCTTCATCACAGTTTGACATGCCACACACCACTCATACATCTCAGATTCAAATCATCAAATCTTTTGCTAAATGCTTCCCAAAAAGAAATAAAGTAATTTCATTTTGAAAACCCGTCCCACCCGCCCTACAGATAGGGGCAGGAGATATGAGCAAGATAATATACGGGAAGTATAATGGGTGTCAGTCAGGAAACAAAACAAGTACAAGAACAGGAACAAGAATTACATAAATTCAAGACTGAGGAAATGAATCGAGATGAAAAAAAAAGAAAAATAAGATGCACAGTAAATAGATGGAATTGGCCATAAAAATTGGAGATCTCATCAAATGAAGGAAATGGTTCCATGGGCCACCCACCCGCCCCTGCCCAAGAAAAAAAAACCCTTTCTCGGACAGGCAGTCCCCGGCCTACGGCCCCCCCCCACACCAGGTCTAAACCTGAATAAGGTGAAGACCTAGATCAGTGATTGCTTGAACAAGAAAGGAAAGAGAAATATATTTACAAGACGAAAGTTTACAGAAGAGAAATGAAAATATATATTGATAAGTGAGAACTGAACACGTCACACACACAAAGATGGAGTTGTTGACACAAAGAAAAAAAAACCGGTACATTTCATAATTCATATTTAAATTGTACCTGGTCTCAGAAGGCCAAAAGAAAGAGATCCAATAAATAAAACTCCCGAATCCTATTATATCATCGTATCCGATCGTTGCCAAAACAAAGGATCAAAGAGCTCAAAAAGCAAAAAGTTGAAAATCAAACTAATCTCGCACTGAGATAAGACAATAAATCAAGGAGAAAATAAGCAGAAAGTAGATGGCGACTAAAAAAGAATTCTAAGTCATGTGGTACTGTGTGGAGTACAAGAGCCGCGTTCAAACCTGACCCGGTTTCAAAAAACCCAGTTGACCCAGTGGACTTTTTGGCTGGAAGCTGTCAAGAACTGTCAATGGATACACAAAGTTACCACCAGAAAAGCAACTGGGTAACCGGGTTTTTGTGTCAACCGGGTTAGGTTTGAACACGGCTAAGCAAGTTGCTCAAAAACAGATGCAAGTGAATTTTGAACTAAGTAAAGGAGCATTTTATACTTTTGTTTGGTCAATTTCTTTGAATATCTTTTGGGAGTTGCAAAAAAAGGACAAAAAATCACTCAACTTGTTGAAGTATCCAACAAGCTGCGCCGTTCTCTACTATGTTTCTCAAATCAGTTAAATCTGCATTCCAATGACCAAGTTTACCGTCATTTCTTCCAAATTCAACCTATTGAAAAAAAACGGGAATCATCAGGATAGTTCAAAGATAAACAATATCATTTATTTTGTCAAGAAAAAGAAATTCGACTGACTGGGTCTAAGAAAATTAAGACAACCAATGATAATTATAATTATAAGTTATTGGTAAGTCATGGTCTCAAGAAAGCAGAATTCAAAAGATAAACAAGAACATCTACTAACATGCAAGTAAAGTCTCAGTAAGTTTAGCCAACGGTGGCTCGCTAAGCTAAGCTA